CAATACGTAACGGCGGTACATGTATTCCGTTACTCCCCAACACTGGCGGTAACACTCAAACAGTTTATTTTGTTACTTGCATCATTGAAACACAAGCTAAGTGTGTCTTTGTGACACTCATTTTGGGCTTCATTTATTACCATGAATATACTGTTTTCACAGGACTCTATGAATGCTAACTGTAACTAAGTACACACCACCAAACACTTATCTTGTTGACTTAATCTCTTGCTTAGATTGTGGGGGAGATATTCTAAGATCTTAAGATCCGATCAAAGCATTTCAGCCATGTTGAAGTCTGGGTCATTGCAACACCTTCAGTCATTCAGCCATTCTGTTGTGAACCTACTGCTGACGTGCTTGAGATTATTGTCATGTTGCATATCTCAGTCTGTGCCAAGCTTTAGCTGTCAGACAGATGTCCTCATATTTGACTCTAGAATCCTTTGATATACAGAAGAATTCAAAGTCGACTCAATGACTGCGAGAGGATCAGGTCCTGTGGCCACAAACAAGCCCAAACAACCACCACTGTGTTAACTGTCACCAAATCTGATGCTGTGCATTATGGCCAAACATCTCCACTTTGGTCTCATCACTATTCAAGAACTCATGTTGTTTGTTAAGATGCAATCTAAGCTGGATTTGTTCAGTGTTTCACTAATATTTCTCTTAACAACTTTAACGGCATTTCTTTTTGTATTATCACAGACTGCATGTTTAGGTGGTTACACATTAGGTAACTCGGGGTATTACACAGCCAAGCTGTTTTCATTTACATTTAGTATGTGTTTCTTTCTAATTTACTATGATAGAATTGCTATAGCCAGGGAATGAACAGCTGAATATTGAGCTAGATTGAGTCAACTAGGACTTTAAGTGTTCTAAAAGAGGGTCTTCGTGTCTCATTTCAGATATATACTATGGACCTACTTGGTTAGTGCATTCATTGTGGAAGGATGATGTTGTCTCCGATTAAGCACATCAAATTGTGCGCTTAGCAGAAGTGACGATTGACACATTTGATCGTGATTGTTATGGTCACTGTGCTATTTTTTTTTTTTTTTGCAAAAATGTATTAACTTCTTGTAACCCAGCGCATATGTAATGCTACATTTTTTCACAGTGAAGATGACTTCAAACAATGGCAAAACACATCTAAAACATTTTGATCATCCTAAGCACACCATCAATGCTCTTGATATTTTAATACATCTCTCATATCTATCTTCACTCTTTGTTAACATTTCCGTCTTTGTGCTTCCTCTAGTCTGTTTTCGTCATAACGTACCGGCCTCCTGATAATCCAGAATACAAAGACTTTCAGAAGAAACTCCATGCCAGAGCTCAGAGGGATTTTGGTGTGCACTTGGAGCCGTCGTTGGTAAGTTATCACCTTTAACATATTTGTGAGTTCTAATTAGAATCGTAACCTGCTTAATGTTTTTTTTTTTCAGATATTCTGTGCAGAAAAAAATTGATTTGCCCTGTGTCATTGTCAGCACTTAATGATAAATGATGTTTATTGTATTATTGAATGTTTAAAAGGGTCCAGTGTAATATCCACATGCTGCTGTTTGTTCTCTTCTTGCAGATGGACTACATCGCTGGCAGCTTCTATGATGGTTTTGTACTTTATGCAATGGCCTTACAGGAGACACTGGCAGAGGGGGGAGCCCAGAATGACGGCATTAACATCACAATGAGGACACAAAACCGCCAGTTCTGGGGTGAGTAGATTTCTGTAAATTTGTAACAACAAGTCTTTCAGAGGTTTCAGAAACTAAAAGACAGCGACAGTGAGTCTTTCTGTCGCTGTTTGATCTTGCATCTATCGCTGAATGTTCATGCATGAGACCTAATGCAAAGTATGGATTTAGGTCTCCACCACCACTTTAAACACTGCCATTCATTTCACCCTAAAGCCGTTACTGCACTTCAGATAACAGGGAACAGTACTCGCTGCGAGGCCAAGTGACCAGCTGCACATTATCATAAAGCACCGTTGAACCCAGAATGCGATTAAAATGTGCCCTTTCAACATCATAATTACAGCATAATTGAACCGTTATCACACAACACTCCTGCTAATAGCCATTTGATGCTTGATGTGCCCGCTCACACACTTCCTTGTTTACTTTATCAGCTGCCAGATCTGCACTCATATCAAATGGAAATAAGCAGAACAATAACAGCGTTTTTGGGGTCCAAACATTCGATGAAAGCTCTCATCTTTCTCCTCTTGTTGGTTTTTTTGTTTTAGTTTATGTGCAGGCACTCAAACGGTGCTTCAGTTGTGTTGCAATTCTCCGTTTTTTTATTAGGACTATTCATGTGTGGTAGATTTTCCAGCAAAATCTTAAAAAACTCAGTGTCCTTGTTTCCAGATATTTGAACCCTTATGAAAAACATCATTATTATAATATCCATAATAATAACTTTATCCAAACAGTGAAGCACTTTATAAAAGTGCTATGCAAAAAAAGTCCCATATTAGGTTAAAGAACATTAAAGATTAAGGAAATGCTAACCTATAGAAATTTGTTTTCAACAGTCGTTTAAAAGAAACAAGATGATTAGCTGGCAAAGTCCACATTTTTCTGTTGTGGGGCTAGTTGATGTACCAGAGACCCAGCTTTGAATCCTCGATGTCACAGTTTCATTTCTGTTACTTTTATTTCATACATCATTGATTTAAAACATTTTGAATTTGGACCATTTTAAGCTATCAGTGGTGCCTCTGTGGTTCAACAAATGCACTTCTTTTGTTTAGAGGTTACACAAAAGGCTTTTGGTCAGGAGAATACTCAGCGTAAAAGCTGCAAATGGAGTTCCCGTCATGCAATTATTATATTAAACACAAGTCACGGTTACGGTTAGAATTTTCACACTTGTTGTGCACTTTTGAGCAAAGGATTTATTGCTGTTAGTCTGACTGTTGCTTATGCTATTTCCTAGTTATAAACAATTTAGAGAAAGTGCTGTCTATGAGCATTTGAAAGAAAAATATGAAAACTCCTGTGTGCATGGTTGGCTTGTTTTAAAACACCACAGATCGCGATCCACTGTCAAATCTTTAATGTGGCCGTTCTTCGTGTTTTCAGGTGTGACCGGACTTGTTTCCACAGATGAAAAAAATGCCAGAAATATTGACGTTGACCTGTGGGCGATGACCAACCAGGAGACAGGGGAGTACGGGGTAAGTCATGGTTTTATAGTTTCATTGAGGGTTTTGAAAGTTATTTTAGCTGCTCATGAAGATCTTAATCTGTGACAACACCTTATTGGATTTTACTGTGATAAGCCCTCAAGGCTCTGTGAAGACTCGGACTAAATTTGTGCATTTTGCACAGTAGGGAGATTTAAAGATTTAAAGATATAGGAAGTGCTTTCCAACATATGGCACGTCTATGACAGAAACACCTAGAGGCACACAGAGTATCAGAGCTGTCACAGTTATCAGTGGGATTTGGCACAGTTTTATTAGTAAGTAACTGGGCTGACGATGAGTGTTTAATACGTTTCACTACCAAACAATCATTTTCTCACAAACCCATTTCAGAAATATAAACTTTTATTTCTCAGTTAAACCAGTTTTTGGCTGTGTAGTGAGCAAAGACTTATGATGCATACCAACTGGTGTGGAGAGACATTTGTTACATGTTCTTCCCCAGCTCCCGCTACCCTCATTTCTTCATATCGCCACGCAGTTGGCTTGCTAGTGAAGGCAAAAAACACACTCCAAACTTGGAAACTCCAAACTATTACAACTTGTGTCATCAGCTGGTGCCCTAGCCATGTTTACTTTCTAGCAAATGGAAAAAAGTAAAAGGTAGGGAAAATAGAGGATTTAATAGGGTGTACACAGATTTGTCTTCTTCTGGTGCTGAAAAAGTCAAGATTAAACTTAAACTGTCCTAATTCTTTTAAGGCTTCTATATTTAATTTATTATCAAAGTGGTTTACTTTTTTATTAGATAAAAGAAAAAAACACAGGTAGCAAAGCGTTATAGCTTCTTCAAAGTATTTTTAATCCTTTACATCATCATTTTAGTTGTATAATTTCATAAAAGATGATATTATTGTAACGAAAATACAGCTTTAATACTGAATTATTATAAATAGTGTCATTTGGAGTCATCACATGACAAAAGTTCTTAATTGTACTTTTCATTTGAACTTTTTAATTCAAAAATGTTTTTGTTGATATACTAAAGTTACCATCTCTTTCTCTAGATAGATAGATTTGCTGAATATACATATTATGGCTGGGACTGAACTAATAATACCAAAGAGAGTGCTTTCAGATTCTTTTAAATAAACCTTGTCGTTCTTTCTACTGCAGTGTTTTTGCATGCAGCAAGCTTCACTGTGGTTAATATGATGATTAATTTTTATTGGCTTATCCCTTAAATAAACTGCCTGGGAGAAGAGTCACAAGCAGTTTAGTGCAGAAATACTGTAGTGAATGCAAAACAAATTCATATTTTATTTAATATTCAAAGTTTATACGTTTGCCTCCTACAAAATAGTCCCATTACTGAACACTTTTGATTTACACTTCTGAGGTTTCAACAAAAAATGAGATGTTGACACCAAATTATAAACAAATTGCAGACAGCGAGAGACTAATTTACTGAATGTGTCGCTAATTACTGTACATTTTTCCCAAAATTCTTCTCAGCATTATGTGCAGTTTTAAACCACAGCCTTTCCTCATGTTTGGCTTTAGACGCAGTGAAATAAAATGTTTGACATCATGCACGGAAAGTGGTCTGTTTGTTAGATATTCTGGGGTCTTGACCTCTCTAATGATAAGATGCATAAAACCTCAGTTCCCCCAAACAGTCCGATGAAAATATTTTTGTATGTTGTGCTCTGCAAACACCGCTGTGAACGGTTCCAGTGTGTTTTTTCCTCCCTGAGGGCAGAATAAGTGGGTTAGCTACACATGACTTCAATTAGAATTTCACAGTGTCCTGAGAGGCTGTCAGTGTGACTTCCTGGTCTCATTTATCCCTGGGTTGTAATTGGTGGATTCATATTGACCAGCAGGCTAATGAAAACATCACATGAGCAGTTTTAGGTTTCAACCTTAACAATATAAAAATCTATGTTCATCTTTGCACAAGGGGAAAAATCCCTTTAAGAAAATAAGAAGCAGATTTTTGTAACTGAATTGAACATAGCTAGAAGTTTTTTGTTGATACATATATGAACAAAAGGTATTCTCCTCATCTTTGATTCAGTTGTTTTCAGTTGCATTGTGTATAAAATTAAGCACTTAGCCATGTCAAGCGTTAAAGAGAATATTGTGTAAATCCATCAACCCTCCGCTAGCTCAATAATTGCAACATCAGCACAAAAGCTGAGCGTTTGGAGCGTCTCAGGGTTCCCAAGGGTTAGCAACTCCTATAGGTGCATTGTGTAGGTGGTCCAATGATTTTGTCTATATATTGTATCAGTGGATTATGGGAAACGGAATATTAACTAATATTTATTTTCCACTGAACAGAAACTCTCGTATAAACAAAATTTGTTTGTGGAAGTGTTCTTGTAACGTCCTCTGTTGCTTAATGTTTGAAGATATGTAATATTAACATAAAAACATAAGCTACACTGGATTTATGTGTTAGATTTATTTAAGAAGAAAGTAACATTAGCATGACTTTGGCGTAATCAAATGAAGTATTTCCATTTTATTAAGGTACTCCAAATGCATATGTATGGTAGACAGTATATCATGTAATAGATGGCATTTTTACCCACTGGTTTGTGGACTTCAGGTTTGAGCTATGAATTGAGACTTTTGCCCATCACCATGCTTATATGGCATGCAACTTGCCAATCACAAGGTAGCCAAAACATGTCCAAACTCATCATTTTTTATAATCTAAATAAGAGCACAGATTCCAAAATAAACATCTTTCTGTGTCGAGGATCACGTGGAACTAGCAATTGAAACTTACCAGAGAAGAGTTGGAGTACAACAGATGCTGTTCATGGAGCTGTCAAAATAAAGCTCTCTCCCTCGCGCACAAGCCTTTCAGGATGGTCGCTGCTTGTGTGGATGTTGATCCTACAGTTCTGTATTTTCTCTTGAACGTTTCATTAATTCCTTTAATCATTACATTGCATGGCATGCAATGATTACCCATGTTATACCAGGTTAGGGGGTTAGTAACGCAAAACATATGTTGATTATATTGATAGGTTTGCTGATATTTTGATTCAGAGACAGGACAATCACATAATCTTAAATAAATACCTTTGTACAATTGTGATTGCAGGAAAGTAATTTAAATGAAGGTAATACGATAATTAAGTTAAAACTGAGGTAATAAAGACTCTTTGAAAACCTTATCTGTTATATGACTTGAGGGAAAACATGCAAGCAGCTCTTCTTGTAATATCAACTCAGTTGGCTCTTTTCATTTTTACCTTTTTTTTTTGCTCATTTCTGGTATAAAATAAAATAACAGCATTGTCACCTTGACAAGTTTCAGAAGCACCACTGGAGAGGAACAAAGGTACCTGGTTCCCTGTCTTTATGCTTTTCAAGGCTAGTCGCCTACGAACTTTGTAGCTTCAGATCTCACTATATTTATCCTCTTTAAAAACTTATATTTAGCAAGTATGCTTGTCAGGTTAAACATTACCAACTCCTCAGGCATGGTGGTAACATGCAGCCTGTGGAGGGTTGATACTATTTTGCAGCCAATGGTTATTATGTTTTCAATCATATCTAACTATCAACATATCCATCCATGCACAAAGTATTGGTGTGATAACAATTGTGTTTTGTGCAAATTTTTTTTCCTGAACTAAATAAAAGTGAACACTAAGTATAAGACAAACATAAAAACAGTCCCAATCGTGAGCTGAACTCCAGTTTCCTGGTCGACAGTTGTGTTGCAATTGTGACTGCCAGAGGTCACTGATTGACCTCTAGGCCTATGTGATTCTAGCTGTAGTAATCAATTTTCCATCGACCTCCAGGAACCACTTGCCAGTTTGGGGAAGACACACTTTTCCCTCAGAACTGGTGATTACCAGATGGTTGTAGACCAGTCTCTGGCCTGTATTCACCTGACTCATCATTGCCACTATGATTATCACATTTTTTTTTAATATTAGTCCAAAGTATTGGACTAATTAAAATTTAAATCCACCACTTTGAGGCTAAAGAGAATAAACATTTGGTGCTGTATCTGAGCATATTTAAATTAATACTTTTTTCCTCTGTATTTGCAGGTTGTTGCATATTACAATGGAACCACCAAAGACATCATTTGGTCCCAGACAGAGAAGATCCACTGGCCCAGTGGTGGCCCACCACTGGACAACCCCCCCTGCGTCTTTTCGACTGATGACCCCTCCTGTAATGATGGTATGACCCGTCATAATGTAATAAGACACTTACCCCTTTCTACCTACCTACAGGTGATTATACCTGTCACAAACGAGCAGCACAAGGCTTTCTAATGGACACAAATTTCATGGCAAGAATTATAAAAAGTTCACACACAGTATAATAGCTTAATAGCATATTTTTTCATGACCTTGGTTAGAATGGAATTGATAATCAGGTGGATATTACAGGGCACTAATGCGCTGTTCCTATTTTAAATAAAGCTACCGTGATAAATGCCTTGTTTTTCTTCAGTTCCTTCCCAGCTCTTTGTGTCTATAAAGTAAATGGGTGAAGTGGAGCATTTACTTGAGTGACAGGCGGTGAAATATGAGCGCAGGAAGTTGTCTTTGTTGAGCAGTGACACTTTTTGGGGGGTTTTTTCTATCAGGGATGATAAACAGAGAAGGAAAACCACACTGCAATTAAAATGTATTGTGGTGTGAAGACAGGATAATGAATGGAGGCTCACTTTCAACACCAATGATGATGAATGCTGAGAAATTTGGAGAAGCATATCAACACTTAAGAGTTTCACAACTTCAGCTTGGAGTGAATTAGATAATTGAGATGATTATAAGTGTTTGAAGCCTGTCATTAATTGGCCAGAGAAAACAGAGTACAATCACAAGTTTGATAATTGCAGTATTCTGACACACATCAGAAAACGAAACAAATAAAAAGTAACCAGACTGCTCATGGGTTTTGTTTTTTCTCTGTTGAACTGTTGGGGTGGACTTTAATTAAGTTTAAAAAATGCAAAGCGAGAACAACAGTGACATTACAAGCTATGCTTCATGGCGTGGTGTTGTTTTCATGGAGAAATCGTCAGATTTGGAACCCGTTCCCACTGCCCTTATAAGCAAGTCTTGCCTGGGATACTGAAGCATAAATTGTTTGGTTTTTTTGCATAAAGCTGAGAATTTACATGTGGTGGTTGGTTGGAGCAATGGGTGACCAGTGCGCATTTTACAAGAAGAAATAGCAAAGATCCTTAGAAGAGCAAAGTCATCTCTACTACTCCTGTTAGGATCAGGGCTGCAGGTATAAATTATATTTGTAATCAAGTATTCAATTTTATTAATTAATTGTATTAATTAATTGAGTAATCGGATAATAGAAATACTTCAGTCTTATTAATGAGCAATAGTAGTTATTCAAAAGAGACAAAACAGAGGCCTTTTAAAATGAATGTATTATTT